CACAAATGCTGATAGTTCCATTAAAAAGACCAGTTTGGATTCGAATACGATTAAATAAAATAATATATTTTATATTATTTTATTCATATAACACATAGGGTTGCCAAAAGTAGGGTCGCCAAATTTGGCGATTTATTCGAATTTTGGCCTGGTTGCGTTAATACGTAAGTACCTAATATACCAATGATATAGAAGATCTCAAATTATACACAGAAAAAATTATTTCAGACAATCTTAGCACTTTTCTATATATAGTGGAATCTTGAACATTATAGTGTTCCACAACTGAACATGTGTTCCACAAATGACTGTTTCTCTCTTTTATACACGTTTTTTTTTTAATTGAATATTATAATACATTAGTTTTAGTTATTATTAATTATGAATTCTTAATGTGTTTATAAAATATCGGTTATAACATTTAATAACTATTTTTTATTTATTTAGGTTTAAACAACATAAGATTGAAGTACCACCAATACCAATTCCTCCCAGTGTTTTTGAAAAAATTAAATGTTCTTTTGTTATGCATTTTAAAACCAAAGTGTCTGAAAGTAAGAATTTTTAAATTAATTCAATATGTATAGTTTCTTATTTAATTCTGTTAAAGCTTTTGAATCAATTTTTAAATTTTTTTGATCTAGTAAATTAAAGTAGCTAAAAAAATATGCATTTTCCAATTTATAAATTGTTTATTTATTTATTTAATAATTAACAAATGCCCAAAAGATTGACTATGATGCCATTAAATTTATAAATTGTAAATGAAATAAGATTTTAACATATTGTTTTAAATAAAAATATTGTTTATTATTTCATAAAGCTTATAAGTGTGTAGCTAGCATTACAAATGTTGTGAATTAAAACAAAGAAAATGAATTATTCATTTAAAAAAATTCATTACAATGAATGAATTATAGATTATATATTTAATAAATTGTTCTTAAGCTTTTTTAAAATCCTCAAAACTGTTTTGTTTTCCATAATTTTCTTATTGCTTTATGTAAGTAGATTTTATTGTAGCCTTTATTATTAATATGACTCTTTTTAAAATAAATCTTATGAATATAACTATTTTTAAAATGACCCTTTCTAAAAATGTTTTATTTCAGTTCATCATAATTTTCACACATATTTTATTTAAAGTATAATTGTATAAAATAAGTTTTCTGAATCTAATTTGTTTGAAGTGTGTCATTGCTTGAAAATTTGATAATATTTTTTGGAGAAAAAAAATAAAAGAAATAATAAATGAAATGGAAAGTTGAATTCTATGATTATTTTTAAAACATGTAAATAACATGTATTGAATCTATTGTAATTAAAATTCGCAGTTATGTTTACGTGTTATAAATTCATGACCTTGGAGTGGTTGAGTAATTGGTTGAAAATTATATATCTTTCTAAAGCTCTTAAGTTTTTCTATAAATAATTTTTATAAATTATATAGTAAAAACTATTTTCCGACAAAGTTCTTTTTGGAATTTAAATTTATTTAATATAGAACAATCTAAACTATACATAGTCAAGAATACATTTTTATAATTCGTCTTTACACATATTTGTTAAGTTCTTAAATTCATGTTCTTGCAAATCTATGTTCTGAAAGATAAATTGAAGAACAGAATTTGCTGATTAAATTACTTCATATTGAACCACAAGTTTTTCTTTCTACATAATAATGATTGTTTTAAACCATTTAATTTTTCAGATATTGACTAGTGGTACCACAGAGCAATGTAGATAATATTAAACAGATCTTCCCTTTCTTTCTTTTCTTCCATCTTTGATCTTTTTCTTCCTTTCTTTAATGTGTTATTTTTAAATTGAATTTGTTTAATCAGTTCATGTGCAAGTACCACAAGTTCGTACAACCGTCCCGCATCGTAAATATTTAAAAATAAATTTATTTTTTAAATGTTTTATTTGTCATTTATCTACATTAATGAATTTTTTTAAGTTGATTAATGGAAAATTAAATTGCACTGAACAAAATATTTACGTTAATTTTTTATTGTATGAAGTAAGTTTTTATCTTTGTTTGATGATCTATTTTCTGAATCTACAACGGTCCCGAGATATTGTTTTGTTTTATAAATAATATAACAAGAATAATACTAGCAATATAGCTATTTACTGTTTAATTTTATTATTATTTAAGACATTAGTAATATAGATAAAATTTGATTATTTTTCATTTACGACTAAAATTGTTTATGTATAAAAGTAATATTTATTAATGGCTAAAATTATCTATGTATAAAAGTAATATTTGTTAAAAAACATTTGCTATTCAGCAGCTGAATATTAAGTATACAACCGATTTTTCGACTAAGTATTCTGTATTCAGCTATGTAGAATTTTCCTTCAAAATTAACTGTTAGGAAAATGAAAAAATAACAAATGTATATACTCTGCATTTTGTAGTCTTTCTGTAAACTAATTTTTTTCTCAAAATAGTTAATAAATATCGAAAATAAATCAATTATTTTTAATGATGCTGAAATTTATTTATGTAAGTAAAATTTATTGATATACTCTATATGTATAGTACAAAAATTAAAGGATTTCAAAATTAAAGGTTGTAATTTTTTCTGTTTTAATCAATTTTACAATAGAATGTTTAATTTTTTTTTCTTTTCTAGGTGAAAATCAGACTTTGTCACTGACAAAAACTTTGTCATATCAGGGATTACCTCCTCAAATTTCGTCACTAGTTGGCCATGTTAGCTTACCCAATCAAGATGATCTTGTTCAGACAAGCATTTTGCAAGCACATGTTTGGGACGCTGATCAGAAAAAGCTTCCCAAGAAAGTAGATATTTTGCGACCTGGACACATTTTCCGTAGAGATTATGGTATTCGAAATAAAAAAAAGATGTGAGCATATTTCTATATATTTTTAAAATGCATTTAAATTCATAGCACAGTGGTGGAATAGATCTTAAAAGTACTTGTTTCCAACTCTAGCTTTCCAAAGCTTCAGATACTAGCTTTTAATTTTCCATATTTATGAAGAGAATGAGTTTTATTAACATCTGTCCCTGAGTTTTATTCATCCCCTAACACCTTCCCAGCTCTTGATAGAAAACGGGGTATTACCTTCTTGAAGATAAATCTCTTGTGATGCACAGAAGAGAAAAGAAGTAATACATACTTGAAAGGCACCCAGGCCATATAGAGTTGTGATTTAATATGTATGCCCGGTATCGTATAAAAAAAAAATGTTAATGATGGCAAAGCAATTTGCGCTAACTATTTAATTTCGGTGAAAATTATGCATTTTTGTTCTACTTTTATTTAAAAATGTGGTTTTATTTCTGAAAAATAATATTAATAGAAAAATATCCTACTTAAAATATTCTGCTTTGTAAAGACTATTTAAAAAAAAATTGTTATATATATTTATAAAATCCTTTACTATCACATATTTAAACAATCATACTATGGAAATACTTTGAAACCTCCAATTGTTAACAATAGTTTTTCCTGACTTTCGAGATATTCTTTTTTAGTTGACAAAAATTGGTTTCTGTCATTATAATTCAGTGAAAGATTAATGCTTAGCTTAAAAAATCCCCTACAATTTTATTATAATCATAACTAACCACAACACAATTTAGTTTCTTCAGAAGGCTGTTCTTTTAATTGTGCATTATTGATAAGAACCTAAAGATTTTACTATTACTAAATAACTATTAAAATTTTTAATGTTATGGTCAAAGTAATAAATCCAGTTATTAACATATGGTATAACTGGTGGATATTATCAATTACTATGTCATTTGGTCATTATATAAAAAATTTACATTAATCTCACATTATACATTTGTTAATTATACTGTCTAATGAAGTTAAGGAATTATTAAAGGTATATTATGTGTATATTAAAATTCTTTTGTCATAAAAAATATTACCATAGGGAATACTGGGCAAGTGTATGTTGGGCAATGGCCTATATGACAAGTATAAGGCAATAATAATTTATTATGTTAGTTTTATCTTTATTTCTTAATGGAGTAATTCCTTAGACTTTTTAATAATTATTAATATTTTTTTCTTCTTCTGTTTCTTCTTAGAGCTGCTACGCTAGAGAAATTAACGAACTTATGTGACTGTGCTACTGGAAAATATCCAACGTGTTTTGATAGAGCCAAGCACATTGATAATTCAGCTGATGTAACTGTTTCAAGAAGTAAATGCTGTTCCTATTAATTCTTTGACCATCTTCAAAAACATTTTTTTTAAAACTTTGTCTAAATTTTTTTATTTTCTGAGACTAGGTACTCCAAATTAAGTATGTTATTTGTGCTTTAAAAACTTAGTAACAATGCTGATTGTTCTGAATTTTTTTTCTTTTCTTAAAATGCTATTATTAGAAATAAGTAAAGACGTATGGAATCTTTATTTATTTATCTGTTTTTATTTATTGGAAATAAATAAAGACATATTAAAAGGCATATTATTAAAAGGTGCTATTATTAGGAATAAATAAAGACATATAGAAATAAATAAATAACATTTAAAAGATGTATTCATTATTGTAAATTACAAAAAGAAAAAAAAAAGAATATTATGTTTAATTATGTGTGAATCTAAAATTCATCAACATTTATTGCTTAATATTTCTAAATATTTTGCACTAATTTTTAATTAATTGAATAATATGATATACTAAGTACGTGTAAGATTTATTCTAAAAAAGTAAAATTTCTTCAATGAAAAAAAAATTATTTGCCCAGAAATAATTTTTAGTAAAGAAAAAGATTTCTCTAAAATAACAGTTTTAATGCAGTGAATTTGAAATTATTTTTATTTTTTAGGTAATGAATTTATTAGATTTAAATTACCTTGTGATATGCTATTAACATCAAGGGAACCTTTAAAAAGATTTGCATCAATTGATGAAGTTATGAGTACTCAAAAACAAGCTGTCCCTAATATCTATCCAATTAAGCACACGTTAGATCTTGAGAAAATAGAAGATACTCCTACTGTTTTAAGTGAGTACCAATTATTTATATTTCTGATAATTTCATATTTGTTATAACAGTTCTTAATGAAACTGGTTTTTATAAATATGTGAATAATATTTTTCTTGTAAATTTTATTAACTTTTAATTGTCAATGGAAAGATATTAGATATTTTTCTGTCTATAATTTGCATTGCCATCTGCTTATATTTTTAGAAAATACAAAAAAATAAATAAAATAATGGTGGGTTTTATTTACATAAATGTGAGAAACAGTAAATAGTGTGGAATCAAAGAAGAGAGGCCATCACAATGGGCTATTTTCTCTAGTGCTTTATGCATTTGTTCATTTGATCCTTTCTCATCAAGGCCGGTAGTAGGAACCCTCCAATACTGCAGCGGGAAGCGTGGTGGCTCAGGGGATAGAGCGTTCACCTTACAATAAGATGAACTGAGTTCAAAATGCAGCGATGGCTGGTCAAATTCCGCACCCACCTCGCACCTGCCTGATTGCTGACATAAAATATGCTCAGTGGCAGACGGATCATGGATTAGAGTACCCTTATCATTAGGCTAATCGTGGGTGATTTTTGTGGTTTTCCTTCCCAAATATCACAAATGTGGTTTAGTTCCATCAAAAAGTCTCCACAAAGGCAAAACTCCTCCCAATATTTGATCCAGGGCTTTCCTTATCTTCTGGATTGGGTTTAAAATTACAAGGCTTTAGAGTTGAACATGGGTAGTCATAAACTCAAATTTGAGTTAGTTCCATCAAAAAGACCTCCACAAAGGCAAAACTTCTTCCAATATTTGATCCAGGAGTTTCCTTTTCTTCTGGATTAGGTTTAAAATTACAAGGCTTTAGAGTTGAACATTGGTAGTCATAAACTCAAATTTGGGTTAGTTCCATCAAAAAGTTCTCCACGAAGGTAAAATTTCTCCTAATATTTTATCCAAAAGTTACCCTATCTTCTGGATCGGGCTCAAAATTAAAAGGCTACGAAGTTGAACATGGGTAGTCATAAACTCAAATTTGGGTCGTCTGTTCAACGACGGTTATAGAATACTGCAGCGGGAGCCGTGGTGGCTCAAGTGATAAAGCGTTTGCGTTTCAATCATGTGAACCGGGTTTGAATCCCAGCAACGGCTGGTCGATACGGATTCTTCACCCAGCCCGTATCAACCACAATGCTAGATGGATAATGGGTTTTTCCTCTCCAAGTAACGCAAATGCGGTTTAGCTCCATCAAAAAGTCCTCTGTGAATGCAAATTTCTCCCAATACTTGATCCAGGTTCAAAATTACAAGGCTATTAGGTTGAACATTAGTAGTCGTAAACCCAAAATTGAATCGGCAGTTCAACGACAGTTATTAAATAAAATACTGCAGCAGGAGCTGTAGATTATTACAGCATCTGCAGATTATTTTCATCTTAGTTTTATATTTTAAACTTGGAGGATCCGCTCCCTGCTTATTCCGCTCTCTAACCTTAGTTGCTTTTCATTCCTTATCCTTTATTTCTTCTTAAACATCAATATTTTCCACAAAAAGACTGAGTATTTTGATTTCAGTTATTGTACCTTAATGTAAGAATATTTTGTTAATGTGTTAAATATAATGAAATCGATAATTTCTAGATTTTAAAAATAAATATCTTTGATTTAAAAATATTAACTGAAGGAATGCGGATTGTGAGACTCAATAAAAAGAGATAAAAGCAAAGTAATTTTACTCATTGAAGAGACTTGTAACATTTCTGATAGGGAATGGTTTTTATCGCTATTTATTAAGTTTTTTTTTATTTTTAAACAATTCACAAATTATCCTATCAGCAGGACGAATTCCAACTCTATAGTTGCATTTCAGCGGACAGTAGATTCATCAACATGGTTTTTTCTTTTACTACAAGTTTAACAGTTAATAATTTTCAAACTAATTGTCGAGTCGAGTTTATTTCGTCATATTCCCTATACTTTTCTCTACACATCTTTGTAATTTCAAGTTTATAGGTTGTATAGATTTTAAGCAGCAATGTTACATAACGAAATGTAATATTAAGCAAAAAAAATAAATAAATTTGTTTATTTCTAATGAGCTGCACAATCAGTCTTCCCGATGAGCAGACCTAGTGTGTTCTCCAGAAGTGGTATCCACTCTTTCAGGACCACCACAATGGATGAGATACCGTTGGCCATGTTAATTTGGACGTCTAGTTTCTGCCATACTAGATGGCAGCACCAACACTCTATTTGGATGCTAAAGTGCACTAGGAATTTTTAATTTTGCCGGAAATGCCAAGAGCCAATAAGGCACTCTAGGGATCTTTTACATGCCGCATAATCATACGACATGGCCGCTGAGGATTTTCTGTATCCCGAAAATCCACTGTCTGGGCCGGGGATCGAACCCGCAGACTTGGGCTCAGAAGGCCGAAGACAAACCAACTGCGCCACCCAGCCACAAAAAAAAAAAGTAAAACAGTCAATGGAAAAGTAAATAAATAAAAAGCTTTTAAAATTGCAATAACTTTCGAACAAACTGGAATTTTGAAAAGGAAAAAAAAATTGTGTGCTACTTTCATAAACAAATGTGGCATTTTCAGCATGCCAAATTTCAACTCTGTCCTCATTCCTGTTACCCATATATTTTTTTGAACAAGTTTAACATTTGATAATTATTGAAAAAATTATCAATTGTTAATTTGTTTATTCCATTCTAATCCCTGTACATATTTCTGCACACCTTAGTAATTTCATAAAATAAAGTCTTATAGTTTTTACATAGCAAAACAAAATGTAACCTTAAGTTGAACACCTAAAACAGGTCCATGGCTCTTAAGAGATTTTAGTATAGAGAAAAAAAAACCAATGGAAGGAAGGGAAAGTGCTGAGACTTCTTTTTAAAATATCTCTAAACTTGTTTCTAATAAAAATTGAGCTGAATTGAGAGAACATTCTAACGAACAAAAATAAAAATTTCATTACTAGATTACAGGTTTAACTATATGGGGTATAGGTTAACTGTACAACTTAATAGGTTTTTAGTATTTTGTATACTAAAATAATGACATAAAAATTCTGTATGTAAAGTCCTTATCTCTGTAAATTTTTCTACTTGAATGTTAGATAAATATGATATTATTTTCTCTGGCTGACTACATTGAAGTTGTTGGCAAATTGGAATTTATGAAGATACTGCAGCCTATTCATTTCGTGAAATCTGCTACCGGGTTGATGAGTTAATGTATGCAAAATTTATAAATTTGGTTATTTATAAACTCAGGAGCTCAAGTTTATTGCTAATTCTTTACAGTTGATAAAATTTGAAATATTCCATCTACCCTCTCATTAAATAGAAAAATTGTTTCAAAAATCAACTTAATTTTTAGGGATTAAGCTTAGTGAATTTTGTTTTATCAATCAATTAACATCCCAAAAATCTTTTAACCTCAGTTTTCTGGAGAAAAAAAATGGTTTTATAAATGGTAAATTTGATTTCTTTTTTTTCAATATGACTAATTTATTTTTAGCTGTAGAAAGCAATAAAAAAATTTAATTAAAAAGCACAAAAAAACTAACTTTAAAGTTTTACAAATAATGGGTCTTATCAATCCTCTATTGTGTTAAACTGTTAAATAGCAATCGAATTTTTTCAAACCATATTTGTGAATAATCAAAATGTTACTCTTTTAAAAGCATCAGCAATATTTTTTTCCCTCCTTGTATTTCAGGAAGTTTACTTCTTCAGATAATTACCCTCCAAAAAAGCCTAAGTACTTTGCTGATGTTACTTCTTTTTTTTATTGCTTCTCTCTATTTTTATCATAGATATAAAACACAATTTGATTTTTTTACGCTGAATGCCCAATAGCCAGGGTTCGTGTTGTCCTTAAAAAATTTAACAAGAGGTCGCTAAAATATTCAATAAATTTGTCTTCCTCACCACGATCATTATTTTCCAAATAAATTTATCTAGTTACGAAATCTTTTTTTTTTTTTATTTTAAAATGAAAACTAATAAAAAGATATAAATAAACTTTTTTATTTACAATATCGACAGCAGTTTTTTAAATTTTTAAGGATTATACAATTCTTTATAATGTTTGTGTTTAATGTAATATAATCACAGTGCTTTTGCCATTAAACTCAACATTTTCAACAATTCTAATATGTGATTAGTATCTTGATGTTTCCAAAGTACTGTAGAAACTTGGCTATCATCAGTAAATTCTGGATTTAGGATACTAAAATCTAGATTTTATAAAATTATTTTACTTTACTTTAGTTTCCAGATAATGTATCACCCTTGTAATAGTTGTCCATATTAACGATAAATAAAAGATTAAATAATAGTTATACAAAAATAAATAATGAAATATTTAAACTCTAAGTGTACGATGCAAGAAAATCAAAAATAGAAAATTTTGTTTTTAATTCTTTCTTCCAACTTTATAACCTCCTGTTCACTTCTTTGATGCAGAAAATCTTAGTATTCTACAACTATATTTTCAAATTTATATAAAAATTGCAGCAATGAAATCATGAAAATGTATGCTTTTAAAAAAAATATATCTTGAGAAAGAAAAATTGTAAGAATTTCTTTATGGATATTTGCAGAAGGCTCTAATAAAGTACATTTTGAAGAGTCCAGCTTTAGCTAAAATAAATAATAATTTTAATGTTATGATCAATTTTTAGAAAAATTATTTCTCTGTTTTTTTAACAACTTTGAATAATTTTGCTAACTTGAGCTTTCCGGTAAGTTCAATTGCTTATAGTCAGGCTTTTATTAAATGCATGTTTAATTTGTAATACAAAAGCATTTTCTAACTTTTAAAATTATCATTTATTCAAATAAGTGTTTAGTATATATATAATATTTTTCATATATAATATTATAATATTCATATATAATATTAATATTTTTTAAAATTATTTCTAGCATCTAATACATCACACTCTGGTCATCTCCATACACTTTTTATCGCTCAGAAATCATTTGGATTTTGGTTTCCAAAACAGTTACTAGCCAGAGCTATTGCCACATGCTTTTCTTTTTCTGCTTTAAAAGCAAGGGAATTATATGGGGTAAGTTAATTTTTGCACTTTTTAGAACTTTGCATCTTATTATGTTTACATACATGATGTTCGATAATAATTATTATTTATTTTTAAAATTCCTGAAAAAATTGATATAAAAAATATGCACTTCAAATTAATATTTAAGTGCAAGAAATAAGAAACACTATGAAAATTTAATGAATCGCTGCTGAGGCAAGGGAAACTGAAAAGGCCAAAACCTGTTTGTTTGCTGAAGATAACAGAGAAGAGTTGAAAAATGATTATTAGAAATATCTTCAAGTTGCACGAGACAATCAAACTGGTTTTGATGTTCTCAGTCTTCAAGTAGTAATATTCAATATTGTTTGTTGTAGTTTTTGTATTTTCCACACTTCAATACTAATTTGCTATCATTAAGTGTTTACTTTTTTGATTTCCCTTTAATGAAGAATTCTAGAAATATGCTATGAGGGCTAAAGTTATGAAACAATCAGTATTAAGGTTAATTAGAATTTGATATATCCTTTTGTTTATTATTGCAAGTTTGCTTTCATGTACTAATACATTTGTACAAATAAAAGTGCATTATAATTATTTGCACAAATAATACAAATAATAATTTGTATTATTAAAAAATAAGTACATTATAATAATTTATACAAATAAAAGTACAAATACATTTGTACTTTTGTGCATGAGATCTTTTTTACATGAAGGTACTTTATCAAATTATACCATAATTTAATATTTCATTAACAGCAGAATTTTCCATTTGCTCACATTTAAAAACATTTTTTTTTTTAAATATTGCTCATGGATTAATGTATTTCCTAACTGAATTTTTTCATGTTTTGACCTGTAATTTCTTAGCAACAATTTTCAAAACAGCTTTTATTTTTGGTTTACTAACATGGTAATCTTTTCTAAAATTGTTTATTTTATCAGGAAAATGTATCTGTTCTACCAGAACCAGTTTGTGTGCAGTGTGCTTACATGGACTTGAAGACCTTCAATTTCATTGCTTATCAGCTGAACACTTTAGATCTTGACCATAATGATGGTGTGAAAAATCAGGTCTGGGTCGATGAACCTTTAAACCTTTTCCATGCAATTACTGAGAAAAATGGTATTGAAAAATACAATCCTGTTGTTTTTAGTAAATTGCTGGCTTTGTATTTAAATGGTTTAGTACCATAAGAGCTGTTAATGCTTATTTAATGTATTGAAATAAAATGTTTTAGATAAAAAATATGGTAATTATTTTAAAGGTGATGTATATTCTTTTGAGAGTTTCCTTTGTTGTCTTTTCATAAGCATATTTTTTGTTCAGTGTGAAGGAAAACAACTTTAAATTTAATCACAAGTTTAAATTTTGATGAATATTGTCCTATTAAATTTCACTGTAACTAAGCAAAATTATTACAAATATGTAAAAAAAAAACAAAAACAAAAAACAAGCATAATCAAATGTGAGATGGTATTTGGCAAACATTTTATGGAATTTTTTTATAACACTGAACTCATTTCAAATTGATTCAATATAAGAAAATGGGCATCATATTTTTCAAAAATACTCATAGAAGCCTAGAAACATTTATAAAAAAATTTTTGTTTCCAAAATCTATATTATATAAAACGCTAATACGTATGTATCAATAAAACCGATGATATTTCTTTTCTCGCGTTGGCAACAGTTTTCATTTTTAATTGATAGGATTCGGCGTGCAAGAGCACGTAGTGATCATCATATGACTAATCTATATTATATAAAACGCTAATACGTTTTAATTTATAGGCTTCGGCGCGCAAGAGCACGTAGTAAACGTCATATGTCTAATCGGGTGAATTCTCACCAAATTATCAAAAACATTCTCACAAAATTATCTTCATCGAAGCCGATGCCTTACATCCGCCGTTCATATTGTTTTACAACACATGGTTTTAGCCCTCTGGTGGGAAAAACTTTAAAACAAAACTTACAACAGTTACTTTTCTCAACAACTGAAATTTAGAATAGTGTGATTAAGAAAAATATGTGAACTGTTTGCAATTTCAAATTAATATTGAAATGCACAGGTTTAGAATTTTCTACAGTGAAAAGTTTTCGGAACTTTAGTGTTCAAAAAAGTATACAACAGCTAGACGTTAAGAATGTATCCAATGAGCGAGCATCGGATTGCGAAGCAATCCGAAATGAACTGCGAAAGCATTTCCGGGGGTTGGCGAGCAGGGGGCGAATCCTCCTAGTTTTTTTATTAAAAACGATCTACTTGCACGTCAAGTAGCAAATGGCATATGGTGAATGTAGAGGCTGTTGGTTGCGACACCTGAGATAGCATGAAAAGCGGAAGTTGAAGGATCGAAGACCGAAGGTAGGAGGACGAACCGGAATAGTTCCTGCACTAATGAATACCGGCGGAGGAGCACAACCGGCTGCCTAGGCAGGGAGTGAAGAGGCTGATGTCCAGTACTTAAGGAGATGACAGTTTGCCTTCGAGAGGGTTGTGCAGCGTCTGAGACTTTGAACCGATATTCCGTTTCTACCCGGTGACGCCCACCTGCAGTATGCGATGTTTACAATGGAAAGTTTAAGTTTTAATTGTTCTTTTAATAACAACTTTTAAATGTTTTAAACGAATAACCTGTTAATTGGAGTTTGTGAGTTTCTTGATCGTTTGTTATCTTTTACTATGAAAGAGGATGTTTCATTGCCATATTGTTTCATTTGACGTCTTACATTCCCATCACCGAAACTTATACAGTGAACAATTATTATTATTTTTAATATTTTTTTGCATTGCCAATTTCATTTGAGACTTATTTCATGTGGAAAAAAATACTTCATGTTTTTTGAAACTACTCATGTATGTCTAGAAATATTTATAGAAAATTTGAAAATAAATTAATTTAGATCAAAACAAGCTTAATTGTTTTGTTTTTTTTTGGTATTAGGGAACACTTAGTGAAATATTTAAAAAAAAAATTCCACCCTTGATTAATTTTATGCACTTTTAATTTAATTCATATGAAAGAATTGAGTTCAAAAATATACATCTAGAAGAGAAGTGTGTAGAGAAAGTTTTTTTTAAATTACTTTTATCCTAATGAGGAAAACTTGAGTGTATTGATTTAGTGCTGATATTGCCATTTAAGAAGCATAAAAAGTGTACTTCCTGTGAATTTAATGATTTTTTAAATACTTTTTGCACTAGAGGGCTATAATTTAAAACTTGTTTAGTATGAAAATATGAGTCTCATATTCATCATATTCCCTTTCATTATTTCATTAAAAAATGTATTGATTTATATCAATAGTGATTTAAAAAAAAAAAAAAAGTCAATAATTTAAACTAATTAAAGAAAATGTTGATTAAAAAAATATAATTTAAACATCAAATATTTTTCTTCAATAAAATTAATAAATACATTCTTTAGGCGGCGATTTATTAAATCTGATTTTATTGTAATGAGGATTTTTAACTAAGAAATATCGAAAAGGATATGCATGTAAATTATTATGTTTCAAAATAGAGTAAATGTGAATAATAGTAATGAAGCTTTTAAATTGTAATTTTCCATTAAATGCATTTAAAATAATTTTCTGGCTAAGAACATATTTCAATTATACCAATTTAGATTTTTGCTAATTAAAGAGCAGTGGTTTTGTATCTTATTAAACATGAAGTTAGCATGTATCAAGTTGCATGTTAGCATGTATCATAATTGACCAAAAAAATGGAAGAGCACTTCTTATTATATCCACCCACTACACTTGCTACTGGCGATTATTATTGGCGAGACCACGATTTTATCAGGAAATCTTTTACTGCATGATTGATGTAGGAGGAATGGTCACAAGGATTGCAATACACCAACCCTTCTCAAAGGGGGGATAAGATGTTAGCAGCGCAGTCTCCACCAGGTTTTAGAAAACCATTAGTGAAATCAGCTATCTCCGCTGATGAAACTGGCTCCATGACAAGTGATTGAAGAATGGACTTCTCAATGGTAATGATTTATTGAGGAAGATATAAGACTTGTGAAATGGACATTTGAAATTATATTTGTGCATGTTTTTATTTTTTTTCCATCACTATTTAAAATAAATGTATAAAATTGACTAATTTAATTTTTATTTTCTCAAAGAGAGAGACATAAATAGTATGTAAATACTAAATAAATAGAACAAAAGTATGTTGTATGGTAAGACAGAATTTGCCGCACTATGTAAATCTTTGCAAGATCTAAGCGACCTCCCATCACTAAAATCAAAATAGCTTCTTTTTGAAGTTTTTGAATGAGCTTTGTTTTTCGATATCGATATAAAGGTTCACTGAAACTATTAATGTCTTAATGTGGTGAACGTAGTAAGCCAAAATAACGGCCAGTGTCGTGATTCACTCACTTCAAAAAATGTATTACCACTTCTAACTTGATATGTTTTTCTTAACATTTCAGAGGATTAGCAACTTTAACGCTCCAAGACTTCCACACAAGAAGAAAAAGAAGGAAACAAAAAACGTGTCTTTACATNGAGTGTATTGATTTAGTGCTGATATTGCCATTTAGGAAGCATAAAAAGTGTACTTGCTGTGAATTTAATGATTTTTTTAATACTTTTTGCACTAGAGGACTATAATTTAAAACTTGTTTAGTATGAAAATATGAGTCTCATATTCATCATATTCTCTTTCATTATTTCATTAAAAAATGTATTGATTTATATCAATAATGATTTTTTTTTAAAAAAAAATCAATAATTTAACTAATTAAAGAAAATATTGATTAAAAAAATATAATTTAAACATCATTTTTCTTCAATAAAATTAATAAATACATTCTTTAGGGGGCGATTTATTAAATCTGATTTTATTGATAATGAGGATTTTTTACTAAGAAATATTGAAAAGGATATGCATGTAAATTATTATGTTTCAAAATACAGTAAATGTGAATAAGAGTAATGAAGCTTTTAAATTGTAATTTTCCATTAAATGCATTTAAAATAATTTTCTGGCTAACAACATATTTCAGTTATACCAATTTAGATTTTTGCAAATTAAAGCGCAGTGGTTTTATATCTTATTAAACATAAAGTTAGCATGTATCAAGACTTGTTCAATCCAGAGTGACGTAATTTTTCTAAGTTATGTTTTATTTTCTAAACTAATTTATTCTTTATTAGGTACCTAGTTGATGATTTGTTTCCCAATTTTTAACTATCATCAGTAAGTTGAGCTTGATAAATACGACTATGATATTTCTTAACTCAATGATTAGTAAGTAATGATATAATAAAAATTTCCTCCATTTTAGTAAGAAATAATAGCTATTTTAGCTATATTATTTTTAAACAATATTATGTCTTATTAAAATTTTTTGCCAGATGTTTTAGATGGTAAATTTAAAAAAAGACATCCAAAAATTTTGATTTAAGTAAAATTAAAAAAATCCTATTTAAATAAAATATATACGATTTTCTGATTTAAAAAAATCATGATTTTTGCCAACCACCTTTTCATGTCAGTGTTGTAGTTATTAACTTTTCAATAGATGAACAATAAAAATACAAACATTTTCTGTGCGTATTTTTTGAAAATAATACACCGAATTTTAGTTATTGATTTTGACCAAGAGTGTTGAAAATTTGTTTAAAATTTAGTATGTAACCACTTTACAGTAAGGGTTTTGCAATTTAATTAAAATTTAGCATTGCACCCAAAACTTATACATTTTGAACGACTTGAAGCGACAAGAAGGCAATATTTTTTTAAAAAACTTTTTAACTAATATTCTTGAAACACTCGCTTTGTTGTAATTAAAATTTAGACCAATTTTCAAAGCTTAAAAATCCCCTTGTCACCTTAAAATTAACAAAAAAAATTTTTTTTGTTGTCTACATATGGTTTGTATTTTAAAATCACAGAAGTAAAAAATATTATGACACATAAAAAATTACAATTAAATGAAAATTGAATTATTGACCAAAAAAATGTAAGAGCACTTCTTATTATATCCCCCCACTACACTTGCTTCTGGTGATTATTATTGGCGAGACCACGATTTTATCAGAAAATCTTTCATTGCATGATTGAAGTATGAGGAGTAGTCACAAGGGTTGCAATACACCAACCCTTCTCAAAGGGAGGATAAGATGTTAGCAGCGCAGTCCACCAGGTTTTAGAAAACCATTAGCGCAATCAGCTATCACCGCTGATGAAACTGGTTCGTTAGCTCCATGACAAATGATTGAAGAATGGACTTCTC